AGAGAGTCCAAGTACTTAAGCTGGCCTACGAAGGCTATCCGTGAGTAAGCGTCATGAAGAGGATGTTAAGGGAAAAAGTTTGGTGGCCGCAAATTGACAGCATTTCGTTAAAAAGTGCCGAGACTGCATTTTAGTAACAGCCAGAAATGCCACCGGCAATGAATCGATATAAATTCCTGGACCATGGCAATGTTTACCCATGGATTTAATGGGCCCATTGCCCAATCAACTATTACTCCCGCTTCCAAGACAAACAAATTTTGAGAACGATGAGATCAACAACGATTATAAAATGCTTAATACAACTTGCTCACGTCTTGGGATTCCGAGGTCCATTAGAACCGATAACGGGAGACAATTTACAAACATCGAATTCAAGCAGTATTGCAGTGTAAACAACATTACACTGATCCACAAGCTAATGGGGAAGTAGAAAATATAAATAGGTCGATTCTGAGGAGGTAACAAATTGCTTATAACAACCAGCAAAATTACAAAATGGAGGTACAAAAAGTATAATGATGTACAATGTCCCATCTCATAGTACAACGGGGAAGTCACCAACAGTATTGTTGTTTAACAGGATGATACGAAATAAGATCCCCTCCATATCAGATATCGTGGGAGAGGAATAGAGGATTTCAGACGTAACGCTAAAGAAGATAGCATCACGATTGGATCCAAAGTTGTCGTCCAGAATATGAAACTGGCCCACAAGTTGATGTCGAGGTTCGGAAAAGCAGAATATTCTATGACACAAAGAAGTGGTAATGAATAAGTGTTAGTGGGAGATAAAAAAAAAACTAGGAAGCTGTGAGCCTATTAAAGCTAAAAACGGACGGAATGTGGCAGCGCATCACCGATGATTGATTATAATAATTATTACATAACGTTGTTGTAACTAATCTAATCTGATTATTACTTAGTATTGAACTTGCCACAAAATGAATCGGTTGTACCTATTATTGTTATTACTTATTGTGTTTACCTATACTTTACGTTTATAAGTTAAGTGTATTATTGTGGTGAAGTGAATAAACTACTATAAATAATCAGTTTGTTATTTTTACGTAGAACATCGTGGTAGCTTAACCCTCAGAACCAAACACCACGTGGGTAGTGCAAATCCCTAGACTGAGAACCGGGGCCCGTTTGATGGTTTGGTGACAGGCGGCAAGCGGGCTAGGGGTCTGTGCGGTCATTGGCTGTGGAGCTGTCAACCTCAACTTTTACACACCCTTTAAATTCAACCGCTGGGTGGCGCAGGTCGCTTTCTTCCTTAATGCCAGTTAAACTCCATTTAAAATATAAGGCTCTATAAACAGGGGACAGGAGAGCGTCTGCTCGTCCCATGCAGATCTTCCGCAGGGAAGTTTTAGAGGCGGGATTAAAATGTCATATCCACACGCCTTTTACAGCCAACCACAACACCACATTGCTATGTTATTTAGTATGTCTTCTTTTTCTTATGTATATTTTGTATTGAAATAAATTTCATTTGATTTTTGTCTCGTTTAGCATCCGAAAGGTACTGGGATCGATACCTGGCGTCTCCACAATTTTTTTTTAAATTTAAATTTTGTAATAATACATTGATGCACTATACATTTCATTATTTTTGCACACTTATTTTGATTATGTGAGTATCAGTATAATTGTAATTCCAGAGTTATTTTTACCCCCTTTCGGTTCTCCTACGTATCCCGCAACTGCACTGCATTACCTGTGTTTGATGGATACGAATTTTAGCCCCGGCTGGTAAATCTCCCTTGGGAGATTTATGCTTAAGACCCCTCCCGGCTATACGTCCGATTAGGCTAGTGGAGTTTGGGACAAGGAGAGAAAACATTTTACTTTTTAGACTGACCCAAAACTTAGTACATTACGGAATCCCGTTTAACCAGGGATTTAGGAACACCCACATTCAATTGTGGTTCATAAATGAGGCTTGGTTGCTTAATACGCTGTAAGGGCCTATGTTGCTTCTTAAGGTACTTCTTGTTCGTCTGCGTCCGTGCTGAAAATTCGGAAACCGCTACACACAAATAGTTCTCCGCACTGTGCGAAAACCGTTCATTGCCTTCTGTACCGAATTATTGCCGTCCACGTCTGATTGTCATGCAGCTGACTTTAAGGAAGATTAAACTGCTCATTTTAAGTACTGACTGAGAAGATTCAGCCATATTAGCCAGTCGTTATTTTTCTAAGCTAATCGTAGTCTACCTTGTCATTCGTTGTGGGCACCGACTTCATAGAAGAACTAGTCAGAGGTTATATACCGGGCTGAAGGAAAGTTGGAAAAAGTTATTCACAAATTATTGCCCCATTGAGCGAAGTCCTTAACTTGTCTTCGGTACCGAAGTATTGCCGTCCACGTCGGGTTGTTGCATTATATGTAGCAGTTAAGGTAGTCGCTATTTACTAGCTGAAAATAGTATCAGATACACAATTTATTCTACCCCACAGTGCGTAATCCTTGATTCAGTATTGCCCTTTATATGGGTGTATTGATTTTTCTGTGTTCAGGTTATTTCTTAAATGCCTGCTCGTTCAATGTATTTTAAGTGTCCGCTGAAATAGAAACACCTTGTTTATATATATTTTTAAATTGTTTTGTTGCCATTGTCTTGTTATTTATTTTATTTCCACCTTCTTAGTAAATGACATTTTATAGGTTAATTTTGTTGCTTTTGTATCCAAGTAAAAGATACATTATGGGAACAGACCTGTAATATTTTACGGGCTTGTATAAAAGACCTGTAAAGTTTTACAGGCTTGTAGAAAAGCAATTTATGAAATGAAATGTCACATTTGACATATTAATTAAAATTTTAAATTTGAAATTCTTTATCTAAAGGTGAAAATAAAAGTTTGTACGTGTCACGCTTTGCAATTAATATTTACTAGGCTCACTGTATTATGGGGTTCGCTCCTGCGTCGCTCACCCCACAAACTTTCAGCTCGCCCGTAAAGATTCATTTACAAAGCTTGACACGTAAATAACTATTACTAGTGCTTTTTTATTGTTTTTTCTTCTAGTGAATGTGTTTAAGCTGAAATAACCGCCCTTTGTTGTAAAGGTTTTTGTTGCAAATTTGCGTGTTAGGTCATGCGATTAATTATGAGTACTTATCGGATTTTGCAGATGATTTCTCCTTCCACTCTTGGTTAGCTTCGTTTGTTTATCCCGTAAGGTGATTCCTATTGGCTGGTTAGTCCGTTATGTATGCTGTCACTTCTCACTTAATTACTTCCTTGTCCGTATGTATATATTTTTACTTGGGAGATTGCAGTTTAATGCACTACTTAAATGATTTAATGTTTCTATTAAGACTTCGGGGAACAGGCACTTGCACAGGTAGTCTTGGCACTAATTGGCACAGTATTTTCCTTGAACTACACAGTAATAAAAAATTACAGAATATTACCTTGGTCACAGAATAGCCATTACGTTGGCCACATAATTGCCAACGTTTTATTCTATAAAATATTTACGTTTTATTCTGTAATCTCACTCAATAACCGTAATAATTTATGCGCCATATTTTTTGTGGAAATATTACATATTTTTATCCGTAATTTTACCATAATTTCTTACTAACGCTTTATGAGCGATTATTAAGTTTCTTTAAGACTTTTATTATGATTAGGTACATACCCTTAAGGGCGTTCGAGTGCACGTCTTTTCAATTGCCTGTCTGTATTGGTACACACTTTATTTTTTTTGTGATGTACCTAAATAAGTGTTGAATTGAATTGCAATGTGGAAACGATAGACTGGTTATAGTCCAACCCCAACAAAGCGTAATGTTTCAAGTATTTATACGCTCCTGACCGTTACGGCAATAGATAATAAAATTAATCGCTCGGCGAACGTTGGGCCAAATACGTATGAATGCTACATCAGGCGGGCCGCAACGACCTATATAGTATAGGCTATAGACATTTAAAGGTTATCATTTATTTCAAAATAAATGACATTCTGATTGTTGACATTGTGGGAAACTTTTTACAATTTTAGTTTAATCCGTCTACATGCTACTCTAAACACGTCGTCAAGGTGTGAATTAGTTAGCCGACATCTGTAAGCATTTTTTGCATATGAGACGCGATCCAATAAAAGAGAAGGTCTCTTTTATTGGATTGCATCCAAAAATCAAATTTTGAAATTCGCGCGGCATAGGCGTTTGTGTAGTGACGCTCGACTTCAAAAATTTACAGTCAATTCCATCTGGACCTTTATTATAATCTTAAAAATAATTTTTTGGACGCTTCTTGGATCGCGTCCAAAATTTAATTTCATCATTTCAAAGTTATTGGGTACCATGTACCCGCTACCTACTAAGTTCCAAAAATTATTCCTATCCTTTTACTTCTTTTTTTTATTTAAAAATTGCTTCCAGATTTGAGTCGGTTTTAAATTTATTTAATAACTTTGCGTCGTCAAATGCCAATTCAGTAAGTTGTTTCATAGCGGCGGTTTGAATGTGCCAGGGATTTGATACTAACACAACATTAACAAATGAAGACCGCATAGAAAATGATGGCGGCCCGCAGTTTGAGTATGATTGCTTCAAAAGTACGCGTAACCTCCGTTACCGTGTTTAGTTGCCGATATCTCAAAAGGGATTTATTTTTTTTATGAAATTTTTAGATTATGTGCACTTAGTTAAATATTCGTATACATTTTATCCTAGTATTTTAATAATAATTCGTCTGAGTGAACTGTTTTTTTCTTGTACAATCGTAACCCTTGTTAGCCAGGAATGGCCGAGTATGAGCTAACCCTATCAGATGTATTTTAATGTGAATACGTTCAGGACTTAAAACCTAATTATAACAAACTTATGGTAGTTTATTAAATAAACACAACAACTTATAATAAAATACATCTGACAAGGTTAGCTACTCGGCCATTCCTAAATAACAAGGGTTATGATTGTACAGCAAAAAATAATAATAAATATAATATAATATTATAAGATAGTATTTTTTTGTAGAATTCTTATTCAAGGAGGTTGCACACCAGTGGGTTGTGTTCTTATTCAGATATTAAAGTTTTGGAATGCAAACATAACAGCTACCTGTTATAAACGCGCCACACCTGTGGCAAAGGCCTTAGGCGCCACTGATATTATCATATTATCCGATGATAACGAAAACGAATCGGAAAGATTGTTGCCAAACGCTCTATTTAAAGAACTAGAAGTAAGAAATACCCTATACGACGTAATAATTAATACGAAAGAATGTAGTTTGACTGAAAAACAACTTCAACTGTTCTGCACCAAAGATGGCGTTATGGTGACCAGTCTTCCTCCGAAGCTGGCTTCCGACAGTAATGGGTTTTTTGGAAATATTGCCCTTGGCGGATATATTAGAATGAGATATTACATTATGGTAAGTAAAACTATTCTACCAAGTTGTACCCATAAATTCTGTTTCTAAAAAGCTAAATAGGCATACAGGGTGTCCCAAAAGTCAACGATATCTTTTGAAGGACTAAAAGGTCAGCTCATGACTAATCAGAATATCAGAACATAACCTTAGTAAAAAATCATTAGTTTTTAAGATATTGGCATTTTTAAGAATTTTGTGAAACTTGACACATAAAATCAGTTTTTCGAGTGCCACAACTACAACATTCTATATTCTTAGATTATATTTTATTTTGCGTAACCCTGAATAGGACTGCTATTAATTACAATTCAAAATTAAATGAATAGTAGATTTTGTAGCTGTGGCACTCGAAAAACTGATCTAAGGTGTCAAGTTTTACAAAGTTCATAAAAATGACTACTTATATTGATTTTCTGCTTAGTCATGAGTTGGTCTATCAGTCCTTCAAAGGATATCGTTGACTTTTGGGACACCCTGTATATAGACCTAATAAATACCTGTATTAGGGTGATTAAAAAAAATCGGATAATTTATTTTACTTCCGTCACTGAAAAATTGGCTCTTTATATTCATAGGAAGATTCTCCTCATCACAGTTTTCCATTTTTTCTTTTGTCCCTTATAAAAAAGGCCATATTTCTGTACTAATCAATCGTTTAATCATATCTTTTTTTTATAAATTCTTCATACTTTGATGTTGAATATCTTTTAAATTGTTAAAGTAATCGCTGAAACATTCAATTTCCTACAAAAATATGTATAAATATAAGATTGATTAAGATTGATTAATAATAATAAAATATCGTCTTTTTTATAGAGGACTAAAGAAAATATGGAAAACTGTGATGAGGAGGATCTTCCTATTAATTTGGTGAGCACTTTCTAGAGTGGCATGAGAACCAATCTTTCAGTGTCGCAATTAAAAAAAATATATTCGATTTTTTTTCCTAACCCTAACCTGTATGTCATTAAAAATCTACTGGTTAAATTAGAACATTATTAAACATATAAATAATGAAACTTATGTTTAATAGTAGTTTCATTATTTAAATTTAATAATATATATTCTAATTTAAATTAACATTAAGTTAACAATCATTCGTATGCATATTTATTAGGGTGGTCCAAAAAACAAACATAATACTAATTGAATCGGTAAGATTAAGAACAGTACAAGTACAAGAGTAAAGATTTTGACAAATTATTTCATAAAATCCGTTTTATAGTTCAAAATGCATTTTTGTGAGAATGTTTTAACTATTTTTTAAATTATAATAATCATGTTTTGTACAATAATTTATATCTAAAAGGCATTTTAAACCTTTAAATTAATTTAAATAATTTGCCAAAATAAAAGTTTTTGGACTCAATTTCACCGATTCAATTGTTTTTTTGGACCACCAATTATTTTATGATCTTTTATAATTTGTGATCTAACCCCGTTGTTGTGACAATGTGTTTAAAAATACTTTGTACAAAATTTCAGTCAAATTCATTAACATTTAGCGCATTTACTTTGGAAGCATTATAGCGTTATGTATTTGTACTTGATGCTTACAGCACAGAACATAAGGCTTACAGCGTGCGAGGTCAGTAATTAATATCTGTTGTGTTTTTACAGTGACAGTTACAGTGTTAGGAATATATGTCAATCTAGACTCTTCCTTGATATATCATAATTATAATTATCATATAATCATGTAATCAGCCATAAAACAGCGACTGGGGGCAAATAAAAATAAAATAAAATTGAACGCGGGCGATTTATAACAGCTAAAGATCCAAACAATTGTATAAGAGTCAAGCCACGTCAAGTGGGACCAGAAAATTTCACGAAATCACCGATTTTGAAAATAATTACATTATTGTGTAGTAGGCATGACGTACAGTAAAAAATTTATTTTCAAATTCGGTTTTTTGTTAATGTATGTAATAATTTTGTAAAACTCTGGAGCGCGGTAAAATTGAAAAAATAGAATCTCTGGGACCACTCTGTATAATTGAATTAAATTTTACACACTATTGTAGCAATGTTTAGACTATATAATGATAATTTAATTAAGGTAAATTTGTTTAAATAAAAGAATTTTGCATGCATTTATTATAAACAATTGAAATTTTGTATGTGTTCTTCACGTTGAAAAAAAAATAATCTTGTGTCATAATATGCGGCATACGTTTCCGTTTAATAAGATGTACTCAAAAATTTGTCTTTCATATGTCATTCCGAAGATATTAAATTTTTTGTCCCGCTATGCGCTTGATCAGTACGCAGCGCGCTTTGCTGCTAGCTCGTCCGTTGTAACGTTTTAACGGAAAGCTGTGCTCACGGTGCACCGCTGTGTGCCTGAACAAAGTTTAAGTCGCATAAAAATGCCGCCAAAAACTGATTGCAGTTTATTGTTCGGGACCATTTGGTTACTTAAACCAAAATCCTATCTGCTCCTCTTTTTGAAAATTCATGAATTTTTTAAAAACACATTTGTACACCGATTTGTATAAAATTGGAGCACATTATTGATGACACTTAATACTGTTCACATCATTTGATGTATACAGGGTTAGCCAAAAATCACTTATTTATAATAAAGCAAAAGCAGGGTTCCCACCAATCCTGAAAAACCTGAAAGTCTTGATAAAGTCATGAATACAAATTTTGAACCTGAAAGTCCTGAATTGAAGCTAAATATAGCTTAAATGTCTTGATTTTCAATTAAAAACAATTATTTTTCTTGATTTATAATAATTTTTATCAATTTATTGTTTCATACATTACATATATTACCTATAGGTATGTTACACAAAAATTTTCAAATTATTTTTATAATATAACCTGGCAAAGCTGTCTTCTGGGCAACCCCATATACATATTTTGACCTGGCAACACTGCATTCCCATGTGTCATTTTTAAACGAATGCAATTTCAATGTCTCACTAACGGTCATAATTGCACTGATACGGAATTCTTTTTGTTTAATTTTGGTAAGTAATGTAACTTATGTTCTGTGGCTTCGGCTTTATGCAAACATGCCAAAGAAAAAGACATATTTTCATCCAGATTGGCAAAATGCAGATTTAAATGGTAATTTTGTTAATATCATAACCCCAGTTGTCAATGACCCTACAAGATTTTATTGTAAAATATGCAACAAATCATGCAGCTTAAGCAATATGGGAAAAGCTGCTGTAGACATTCACATTAAAACGCCTAAACACAAAAGATTCGAAAAAGCCCTTCAACAAAATAAAAAATTGACAATTTGCATTGTATAATTGTGTCATTTTTTAATTAAGGTTAATTCAAACGAAATAACGTCTATTTTTAGTAACCCTACTTATACTCTTTTAGCTTTTTGCCATATAATTATTTGTAAAAAAAAATTTATTTTAATTAAATATTTTTATGTTCGGTTTTTATTAAAAATTTTACTTTGTTTCTATTTTATAAGAATTTATTTTATAACTAATAAATGTTTTTCAATAAAAAAGGTTAATTTCTTGCTAGGCTTGCTAGGCTTATTCACTGTAGTCATGAACCAAGTCATGAAAAATTTAATTTTTGGTCATGAAAGTCTTGATTTTTTAAATGACAATGTTGGTGGGAACCCTGAAAAGCGTAAATTCATGGTTTTGGCATAACACGCAAAACAGATTTATCCCCATTTTTTGTAATATATTTCTACGTTTATCAGGTTAAAAAATTGCATTCTTATTAACCTTTTACAAGAAAAATAGATTTTTAATAAAATTAAATAAAAAATATTTAAAATTTTGTTTAATTTAGGCTTTATAGTAGTTTTCAATTTTGAACGAAAAACTGTTTTTTTTGATCGGCACTCTTTGGTGATTTAAAAACGATATTTACCAAAATTTTAATTGCTTTTTTTTGAAATTTGTAAAAAAATCATTTTCTTTTAATTATTTGTTCATCGTAAAGTCTACCTTTGCCAGAGTACATTTGTACACCGATTTTTATTGGAGTATATTGTTAACGAGGGTTACCAAATAACACTTTTTTATATAGTAAAAAGCATAATGCACAAAAAAGATTTAACTCCAAAATTAAAAAAAACATGAATTTTCAAAAAATTTTGAAAAGAGGAGCAGCTAGGATATTGGTAAATATCATTTTTAAGTCACCAAAGGGTCCCGAACCAGAAACTGCAATAAGTTTTTGGCGGAATTTGTATGTTACTTAAACCTCGTTCAGGCACGCTGTGTGCTGACGAGCTAGCAGCGAAGCGCGCCGCGTACTGATCAAGCGCACAGCGGGACAAAAAATTTAATATCTCCGGAATGACACGTGAAAGACAAATTTTTGAGTACATTTTTGAGTACATTTTAGTACAAATTTATCTTAATTAAATGATCATTCTATAGTCTAAACATTGCTACAATAGTATGTAAAATTTAATTCAATTATACGGAGTGATCCCAGAGATTATATTTTTTCAATTTTACCGTGCTCTAAAGTTTGACAAAATTGTCGACCTTAATAACATTACCAAAAAAACGAATTTTAAAACAATTTTTTTTACTGTGACATTTGTGTCATGCCTACTACACTATAATGTGATTATTTTTAAAATCGGTAATATCGTGACATTTTCTGGTCCCACTTGACCTTGGACCTCTTTTATTTGTACTTTTTTTAATAACCTAAAGCATTTATCACTTGCTATTTGCTGATAATCTTAACTTTTATAACATTAGAACAATATAACACTACTCTTATGTGCAAGAACAATTGAATATATTAAGTAATTGGTGTAAATTAAATAAACTATCGCTTAACGTAGGTAAATGCAAAATCTGTACCTTTACAAGGGAAAAAAGTTTTATTATGTATGACTATATATACATTAAATGAAGAATACAGGGTGTTTCTTTTAACTTGAGACAGCTCAATATCTCGAGAAATACGCATTTCACGGAAAAATGTCTTAAATAAAAGGTTAATGTGACTAAAGGGGACATTATTTGGTGCTACCGCTAGCCACC